TTGTTTAAGCCATTCAGAAATCGTGCCATGAGATTCTCCATATCCTCTTCAAGATCAAGTCGATCCATCAACAAATCCATCTCCTTGTAATAGTCCTCCACRGACTTGCTACCTTGTCTCAACACTTGTAGCTTTTGCGCCGTGTCCCTTTGGAAATGTCTAGGAACATTGCCTTCTCATCAACTCCTTGAATTCATACCATGAATCGATTGGCGCCTCAAGATTTCGTCTCCTACTTGACATCAATTTGTCCCACCATGTTATTGCATAATCTTTAAATTGAGCAATACATAGTTTTACCTTCTTTTCTTTGCTAAAATTGTGGCAGTCAAATACATACTCCACTTGCTTCTCCCATTGAATGTAAGCCTCCGGATCAGTCTTACCATAGAACTTTGGAAGCTTCAATTTGATATTGCCCAAGTTTCGGTCAACTTGAGCATCCTCCCGTGGAGCTCTCCGTTGGAGATTATGGTAGCCTCTTCCTCGGCCTCGCCCTCGATCTAAGCCACGACCAACATGTCTCTCTCCCCGTCTTGGAGCCGCCAAGACTGTAACTTGATCGTCCTCCCAATGATCAGATCCATCACCTTCATAATCATCCTCATCTAGAACACGTGGTGGTGGAATTCGCTCCGGAGCTTGGTTTTGAGCCTCCAACCTTCCTATCCGCTCTGTCAAAGCCTCCATGCCACGAATCAATCGTTCCATAGTTCCTTCTAGTGCCTTTCTCCTTCGGGCATCGGGAATGGTATTATCTTCAGGATTGGACATGCTGCAAAACAAGTTAAAGTAACAAGAAATGGACCTCACAGGCACTCCCTCACGTGTTTTCACTCGTTAATGAATTTCACTCGTGTTTAACACTCAAACAATGAATCACTCCCTCACAAACGCTCAATCTCACCCTCTCAGCAAATTACACTCCAATATTAAAAAGTAAGCCGATGAGCAAGACTGCAACTCAAGTGATTAGATAAAACACACAAAGAAAACACTCAAATAACTTGATATAGGAGTAAATTCAAAACTCAAATTAGAAACAAGCTAAAGAAGAAAGTGACAGAATTGGAACATGATAATTAAGATGGAACAAGAAGTTCAAAAGACCAGAAAATGTAACTCTTGAAGAATTAGGCTATTTTGAGAATTTATGGAGTTTAATTTAGCCTTGACAACAGATATGAGTTACACAAGAAAAACATCATGAGAAATGAAAAACAAATTGCTGGAAATTAATTGAGACAATTGTAACCGTCAAAAATTTAATGAGTAACGGTTAGTTGTGGAAATAAATCAAAACATAATTGATATGATTTATTACCAACAGCTAGATTAACAAAAATAGGCAATTTCAACAGCACAACTCAGATCTAGCATGATTTGGAAGTAAAAATGTAAAGAACAAAGAATAACACATGCTCTCGGGTATAGCAGTTTTCCAGAATAGAATGTCAATTTTCGAACTTTTCACTCAGAAGCAAATTGAATCAGAAGATATACTAGAAGACAAAGTTGTACATAAGACAGAGATCTACAAACTCATAGAAGACAACAAGACGAAAAGAAGAATGGAAATGACACTTTTTTTATATTTTAGATACGTGGACAGAATGTAACGAGATGAACAATAAGAACAAAAATTTCAAAACAAAGATCAAGAAGAGCAATACGAAAACGGAAACATATATCCGATCTAGAGCCTAGTGCTCTGATACCAAATGATAAGAAAACAATAGCCAATTGGATCTAAGAACCCTTATGGTTATGCAAACCCTAGATCACAAATTCTAAAACCCCCAAATCGAGATGATGTCAACCCAAGGAAGAAGTTAGAACGGATTTACCTTGATGATCAATATGAAGAGTAGAGAAAATTTGTTTCTAAACTCAAGATTCGAACCACTCCACAAATAGCTTGATCAAGACTACTTGAATGATTCTAGCATGCAAATCTAACACTCAAGAATTGCAAAGAAAAACAAGCTCTAGGCTTTTTGAAGCAAAATAGCAACTTCATTCAATCTTCAAAATCTGTCTTTCAAAGGAAACAAGCTAGGTTATTTATAGCCTCCAAAACAACCCTAAAAGTAACCTAAAGGCATTTGAAAGGTTGTAACTCCCAATTACATGATGGCCATAACATCCACTAGCTAAAATGTAACTTAAAACACATAAATGAAATGTTTRAAACTGAAAATAKAATAAAAAGAKGTTTAAATCYGAGMATTKAAGTCTTGGTCACCCTTCAAAGTCTTTGTAACCTCCCAATTATAAATGAAGYTTCACTTGAAGTAGTTTGAAGTGTAGTTCCATTAATTGATGGATAACTTGCAATAAATGAAGCTTGAGATGCACTTAAGTTCATTTAATGCAACTTGAGTTCCTTGAATTGAACTTGGCTTTMTTGAATGCAACTTGAGTTAAACTCCACTTCAACTTCAGCTCGTTTAAATGAACTTAGAGTTCATTTAATGCAACGCCTCCCTTAAGCTCTACTTGGAAGATATTGACTTGAATAGTTCCATCTCTCTCTTGATCATCCCTAGCCGAGCTCACCAAGTATTGAACATGAGAAAGTAAAGCTTGTTGTAGCTTCTTGGCTCTTGATCTCGTTATGGGTCCTTGAGGCATGACAATGGTGCTTCCTTGGTTCACATTAGTTAGCTTCTTGAACTACGGGATTGTAACCTAATTAGGATATTTATGAATACATTTGTTTAAGTTTATCGTACTTGAATAAGTTTTTGCTTCATTGTCATTCGAGATGTTAATTTTCATTTAGTGGATGATTTATAGTTAGTAGAGGTCTCCTTGAAGGGTTTGGTTGATGTGAAGTCGGTATTTAATGGTTTATCTATATAGGATGTGAGTTTCTCTTAAATCTTTAGTGGTGTTGTTTTAATTGTTCAAGCTCTCGTGAGTGTTGAAAATCAGAGTAGCGCAGCAGAAGCGTGGTAGCTTTATTGCTTAGTTTTGTTGTGAAGACAATTCTCTTGTTTGTGTGAAAATTTTAGGTACTCTTAGTAACGGTCCCTGTTGGGAAATGGTGAAATTCTTGGGGCGTTACAATTCGAGCCGGTCATCGGACACTCCCTTGCGAAATGTCCTTCCTTCTGGCACCTGAAACATATTCTTTTTCCCAACCAACATGGCCCAGTATGGTTCTTCTTACAAAAGGGGCACACCGGAGGAGTAGTCTATCTTTGCACATGGTGCTGGTGTCCTCTTGATGATTGACTGGAGCAGAACGATGCAAATTTCCTCTTGACCCCCGAGCTAGAGCCCATTACCTACTGAGACTGAGGCTCCTCGAGACATTTGTCCATAACCAACGCACACCTGACCGCCGCTGCGTATGTAGTTGGTTCCTTGAGAACAAGTAGCCCCTTGATCTCTCTACGCAAATCGTCAATGAACTTGTCAATCTTTAATTGCTCAGTAGGAATATATTGCATTCCAAAACGGGACAGCTCAGTGAACTTCGTCTCGTATTGGGCCACAATTAGGCTCCCTTGAGTGAGACGGAGAAACTCTGCCCGTTTTTGATTCCTGACAGTCACGGGGAAATAGTACTCATAAAGTAGGTCCTTAAATCTTGCCCACGTGACGGGTACGTTGGCGTGGTCCTCCGCTGCCGCCACC